CTTTATTCTGTTTTTTATTTCATTTTTCAGCCATTTTAGTTTCTATTACGCGCGACGCTTTGCTTTAGCCTTTAATAGCACTTAGATTGCTTTTCCAATTTGCCGTTGTTGCCTCAAATCGTGCCATTCTTTGTGTGTGTTTATTTGTTTTTGCTTGTTTGTTTTTTTTTCATACTTTTTTTCTTGCTGTTGGAAAATGTGAAATTTTCAATTCGCTTGCTTTGCGCGCCAACTTGTTTGCTCCATCCCTTTTGAAGTCACACAGCATGTCCGTAATATTTTTTCTTTTCATTTTTCTGCTCCTTTTGGTGAATTTCTTACAAGTCATGCTTATGTTACATACTCGTTTGTATGTATGGACGCTTCTGTTCTTTTTCGATTCGATACTGCCTGCATTCCTGCTCATTGATTGCGAGCTCACTTGTTCGACATGGAAGTGTTTTGATTCTACTTTAATACCTCAACTACTCCAATTTCATGTATGTTCGTGGGTGTGTGCGTATGGATGTATGTGATTGCCTTGCAATCATGCTGCGCATCAATCTAAATATCGTAAGATGAGAGCGAAGGAATGTTCATGAGTATTTTCAAACAAGTTGCTTGCTGCGTCAGTTTGTTTGTGTAAGAAAAAATGTTGTAAACAGAGGCGAAGTGGTGTCGAAAACTTAGTTTAGTGAAGCGATAAGACTTCTATTGTCCTGACTTTAGCCTGCAGGAGAATCAACAAGAATCGTAGATTTGGTGTTGTATACTTTTATCAGTGGAGGGCGTGGTACAACAACATCATCTCAATGTTAGCACACAACGGAGAAGCATATCAGTTGTTAAGACTCACAGCTACTCTTTACAGGAAGCAAAAGCAGTGTGAAAACCAGAGATTGGAACGCTCAAGACCCTTGGATACTAAACCTGTCTACAAAGCTACAAGCAGCGATCGTTTTGTTTCTGCTTTTAAATTCAAAAAATTATTACATGGAAGGCAGAAAGGTTTTTGAGATTATATAGCATCTTAAAATCTAGTAAATTACTTACACTTTAAGTAAGAGTGGACAAAGTTTCTTCTATAGTAAGCCGAGCTTTCTTAATGCTGCAGTATTATCATCAGAGCGTTCTCTGGTTCATATTTATACGCTTTTATAGCAATATTATTATTTTTTCTTTAATCACAGTTTAGCAGATTTATAAACTCTCCGCTCGATCGGAGCAGGGCAATCTCTAAGTGTATGATACACTGTCGCTCCTTAGGGAGATATTTGAGCAAGAAATTCCCAAACAATTGAGGATAAAGCAGAACTGCAAGGCAAATGAACTCGTTTCGGCATGGCCTTGTGTTCAATATACAGACCACTCAGTGGTGGATATTGAACTTAACTTGCCGCAAATGCAAGCAGAATTGACCGAGACAGAATCAGCAGAGTGCGCATAAAAGAAAGAACACTCGATATTTATAAGAGTCTTTGAAAGGCTGGTCGCAAACAGGAGGCAAGAGATCTGTTAAAATATGTTGCCAAACTAATTGAGTACCGTTTACTCGGTAGAAATGAGTTTTGTAATCAATTGAATCAATTGAAATTTAATACAAAATCCAGGTTCATCAAGATACTGGTGGCAACTATGTGAAATTGAGAATTCAACTATTTTTGAGTTCTCTTCGCAGGCAACTAAATCGGTAAAGCCGTTTACATATATACCCTTACATAATTGACACTTTGTAACCGTAGAAGCGAGTTTAAGCCCCTTCCATTCTTCAATTTTTGGTGTGCATTTTGATGATTTTCCAACAAAGAGAGGGACATACAATTTATTCTAAGAAACCTCCGAACGGCTGTTGGGTTTTATGTGAAATCTTTATTTATACACTCGGAGCTTTCGACATTCCCTACCGAGGAGCAATTGCAATTCATTGGTTACACCAAGACGCAAGCTCTCACCTTTCGAGTGGCAATGCGCAATACGAATTATTATTTTTTCTTTCTCACCCTCTGTTTCTACAAGCGAGTACTTCTTAGAATACTTTCAAATATGGAGTGTTTTTCATCCATTCTTACGACAAGAGCATCTGCCTCTCAAATACTTACTTTACTTTACTGACGCGATTATAGCCGATTTAACAACATTGCGCCATTCGTTTCTTCTTTTTGCAAGCACAGCCAGGTCTTTCTCTACCTGGCTTTCTCCTGCTTCCACCGGCGAGTACTGGATCGAAAACTTTCAAAGCTGAAGTATACGCATTCATACGGACCACATGACCTAGCCAGCGTAACCGCCGTTTCTTGATTCGTTGAATTATATCAATGTCGAGGTATAACTTGTACAGCTCATCGTTCCATCGTCCGTGATATTCGCCGTTTCCGACGCGCAAAGGAGTCACCCTGTCTAAAACCTCGTTTGGTACTGAACGGCTCGGAGAGGTCCTTGCGCTTACACATCCATACGAGTTTTGCGGTTCCTTTTCGAGCTGTCGAATGCTGCTTTAAAATCGACGAAGAGGTGGTGTGTGTCGATCCTTTTTTCACGGGTCTTTTAAAAGATTTGGCGCATGGGGAATATGTTGTCAATGGTTGACTTACCAGGTCTGAGGCACACTGCGAAGGTCCAATCAGTTTGTTGACGGTGGGCTTCAGTCTTTCACACAATGCGCTCGACAAGACCTTATAGGCGATATTATGGAGGCCTATCACACGGTGTGGAGGACCAATTGCCGAAAGTTTCGATAGATTGATGGAAATCGTAGTCTAGCCATTAGGCGAGCTCTGTGTCAATTGCCCAGCAGCTAAACATTGTACAAAAAAACAATTTGGAACCCCTTGAAATGGTTGGCTATACAAAGAGGCTCGTTGTATGAGTGCAGCGTGAGTTGAAGAGAAAAAACTTCATGGACCAAAGTTCTGTCTGCGAATCGCTACAATATCAAAGCGGATGGTGATTTTTGATCAAAGGTGGATTACTTGCAGCAACATCAAATGAAAACAGTTGTGGTCGAAGGGCTCCAAATATGCAGGCAGGTTTTCTTGAATGTTTTGTGGGATCGGCAAGAAATCAGCTACTATGAACTGCTCTCCTACGGTAAAACTCTTAACTCAGACCTGCACTGTCAGCAACTTGGTAGCAGTAGTCCAAAAACACTCAGCCTTAAACCACAGGTGAGGTTTTGTGTTTCATCAGAACAACGCCAAGAAACGCACATCGACAGGGACTCGCCAGAAGCTCCGCAAGCTTGGTTGGGAGGTTATTTTGCATTCACCCTATAGTCCGGTCCTCGCACTAAGCGATTACCATCTGTTCGACTCTATGGCGAATGAATTGCCTGGTGCCAAATGTGTACATCTATATGTATGTATCCAGTACGACAGAAGCAAAACAAACATAAATGTAAACAAACTTTTTCCGACCTGAAGCGAAAAACGCACTAAAAGTGGCAACAGCGTAAATGGGAAAAAAGAAAACAAGAAGAATTAATAAACAAGCGAAATTTGGTTCATCAAACAAAGGTGTTTGTATGTTCACCAGTACCTGCTTAATAGCAACGAAATGTTGTTGCCGTTTTTCACCAACTTTTAATTTAAAGTTTTTGGCACAAAAAAATATGAAAAATATGGCAAATATGGCAAACGCAATTAAAACTAGACCAGTCTTAAAAGTAGAAAACGTGCGATGAAGCTACAGTGGAGTCGAAAATTAGTTATCCAACTTACAATGCAACTGTGGAGAAGTGCTGGTCATTGGTGGTGTTGCCAACACACTTCAGTTAGCAGCTCAATTGCGATCGAGTGCACAATGTTCTAAACTGAGCTCGACCATAAGTTTCTCCATAAAAGCGACATTAATATTCTGAACTCGTTTTCCACCTAAATCAGGACTAGACGTAACACTTAACAGGTAGAAAATCATTTACTTCTCGCAGCTCAGAAATTCTCATCCTTTTTGCACGCCACCACATCTTCTTCCAGGGGCATTCTGAAGAAGAAGTTTGACCTATCTTGTAACGGAACGAGCTTTGTTTTGTAAATGAATTTTTTAGTGGAAGTTTGCACATGGGGAGCGTGTTACCATCTATTGTGTTGCTCCACTGAAAGAATCTGCTTGGTCGAACCTTCCCCAGTAAATTCGTCCGCCCGGTAGTTCCTTTTTTTGACTCTGCAGAGGGGTACCGAAAAGTATAATCCGTTTTGTACCCCCTTGACATAAAAAGATCTACGTAGGAGGGCTTAAAGTTTCTCTTGATCGATTTTGAGTAAGTGTTTTAAATATATGATTGAAGCACCCGGATCGAAAAACCCAAGCTCAAGGCACCTGCATATCTTCTTATAAACAAATTCGCACTTCGTAACCGAAGACGTAATCTTCGGTCTAGCTCTTCTCGTATTTCTCATATCTGCGGTGTGCATCTGGAGAGATTATAAGCTGACTGAGAACGGCTGAGAACGAGTAGCTTTCTATTTTATGCCGGAAATACACTTAGAGAGGCTGACATTCACAGCGAGGGTCAACCCTAACAATAAGTTTGGAGATTAGTCTTGCCAGTCCCAACACCCCTCCGTCCTTTAGTGTGTTTAGCAGCCCTAAGGCGGAGGACATAAGCCCAGCAAAAGCACTCATTATTGGAAGCTGTATCTAGAGTTAGAGATGGCCGCGTAGAAAGACGCAGAAAGAATTTAAGAGAAAGCAACGTAAGTGTGAAAGGATTGAGAAATTGGATGAAAGGAAAAGTACAAAAAATTATATGAACAGATACCAGGTCTCACTGAAAGTTTCAATACAACGGGATATGCCTACAGTAGCTTTTTTTATTGTCTCATAGGAACTAAGTTTGAGTCCTTTTGTTAGAACTAAACTTCAATAAACTAGGTTAACGAAGGGCTTATAAGTATAGTGCACCGTCTCACAAAAGCGTTAGATTTTATACAAAAGATATATAATACTTTATAGTTTCATTATCTCATCTCACATCCTCCTTACAAATTTCATGAATATTTCCCACATCTTTTACTTACTTGCAGCACTTCCCGCCTCGCATCGCTTCGATTTGGCTGCAGCAGGTGGCATAGCGCCCTGTTTTGGTGATCCGCCCCTACCCTCAGCACTGCCACTGCCCGGCGCTGATGATGACCTCTTCAGTCCATCGGGAAATGGGGATATCAGTCCCGGCTGTTGTCATGCCGATCTGAGTCCCACCTTCGATAAGCCATATATGCGTGAAATGGAGAAGACAATCGAGGGATCACGATTTATAGCGCAACATGTGAGAAATAAGGATAAATTTGAAAGTGTAAGTAAAAGTCGAATTGCACATATACACATACATATGTATTTAAGAGTTGTTTAATATGACTACCCATTATCGACATATGAATGAAAATAGCAAAGATTGGCTGGCATTTCCCACTAAATACATTTCCACAGCAGCATCAGCATATTGCACCATCACGTTGTCACAAAATATTTCAAAAAGAAAATTTCCATGAACTGCTGACTTGTTTATTTTTGGTACATTTAAAATTAATCTGTTTTCTTTTCCAGAATCTGATTTTCAGGTTATAAGAATATAAAAATATTATTTTATAAAGGGCGTCACAGCTTCATTGAATAAAGCTCAATTACTAAGCCAGCGCCAATTTAGATAAAATAATTGAATAATGTAAATACTGACAACAACAACGGTGATATCCACAGCCTAACCAATAAGTGAACTGCGTAAGTCTAATAAAAGATGCTTGTGGTCTTCTGGTGTTGTTATGGTGAAACACAATACCTTTTCTATCGATCACTATTGGATGCTATTTTTGAGGAGTTTTATGTAAGATGGTTAATTGTTGACAACGTTGAGGTCATAATGGACCGTTTGGTTATGTTGTAGCAGCTCAAAATGGATAAATACTTTCAAATCCCACTTAAGGACACAAGATCACATCCGTTTAATGCTCATTTATTTTATTGTATTTAAATTAATTTTTTACTTTTTATTTTATTTTATTTTATGTTTAATTCATTTAATTTTTTTATTTCATTTTTGTTTTTTTGTTTCATTTTATTTTATTTGATATTAATTTAGTTACCTTTTCTTTTATGTAATTTTACTTCATTTTTTATTTGTTTTTTAATTACTTTATTTTCTTTCATTTTGTTGTATTTTGTTTTATAGTATTTAATTTATTTTATTACGTTTTTTCAATTTTTTTCAATATTTTATTTTATTTAAATTTATTGTATTCTTTTTCATTTTATTTTACATTAACATGTTATGTTTTGTTTAATATTTTTATTTTTAATATCTTTTACTTTATTTCATTTTGTTTCACTTTATAATTAATTTAATTTTATTTAACTTAACTTACTATATATTTTTTATATTTTTATTTTTTTACTTTATTTTGTTTTATTTGAATTTATTACTTTTCATTTTTAACTTTTTTTATTTTTCTATGTTATTTTATTTTATTTTATTTTATTTTATTTTTTTTTTTATGTAATTTTATTTTATATTTTAAATTTTTTTGATTATTTAATTTATTTTTCATTTTATTTTGTTTTATTGTATTTATTTTTTTTATTACGTTTTTTTCAATTTCTTTTACTTATTTATTTTGTTTTATTTTTTTACTTTTATTTAATTTGAATTTATTTTATTCTATTTCAATTTATTTTACATTAACTTAATATTTTTTTTTATTTTATATCTTTTACCTTATTTCATTTTATTTTATAATTAATTTAATTTTATTTTATTTTACTTTAACTTATTACATATTTTTTAGATATTTATTTTTTTATTTTATTTTGTTTTATTTGATTTTATTACGTTTTATTTCTATTTTTTTGACTTTGCCTATTTTATTTCATTTTATTCTATTTAATTTTATTTTATTTTATTTTATTCTAATTTATTTTATTTTATTTTATTTTATTTTATATTATTTTATTTTATTTCATTTTATTTTATTTTATTTCATTCTATTTTAACTCATTATAATTTTTTTTACTTTCTACTTTGTTTTTTAGTATAGTTCTTGTTTTTTATTTTGTTTTGTTTTTTTTTTTTTTGTTTTATTTTATTGTGTTTTTTTTTTACTTTTCTCACTTTTTTTATATTTTTTATTTAATTTAATTTTTTAATTATATATTTTTATATTTTTTTTATATTATTTATTTTATTGTTTTATATTTTCTTAGTTTTTAATTCTTTTTAGAGTTTTTTATGTTATTTTATTTTTTAATGTAATAAATCAATTTTTTTTAATGTTACTTTATTTTATATCATTGTTCTTTATTTTATTATATTTTATTTTATATTTTGTTATTAATTTTATTTCATTTTATTTTAGTTTATTTTTTTCAATTTCGTTGTTATTGTTTTATTTAATTTCTAATTAATTTTTTTATTTCATTTTATATTATTTCATGTTATTGTATTTTTTGTATTTGCTAATGCATTCATTTGGGATTCATCGAGCATATTTGTATGTCACAGGCTTTGTTTAAATAATCTTCGTCAAATCAAAGCTAAACTCTCTAATTAAAGTTTATTTTGTAACCTAAAATATCTACAGTTTATATACATACATATATATATATATATATATATATATATATATATATATGTTTATATATATATCGTATGTATCGCAAGTATGTACGTGCATTTGCACGAGTACATTGAAATATATCAGGGCTGTCACTTGAATGTCTACAAATATGTTACTCATACGCCCCGATGAGCTCACTGCAGTGATTTATCTATATTCATACAAACGAGTGCATTGCATAAGCAACATTCCACCATTTCTTTTATATGCATGTGTTTGCACGTAGTCAGAACACGAAGAAACGACAGCTGATTCAACGTCAAAGTCAATAACGGCAAGAGAAAGAAAAAAACAACCCAAACTCTTTCCATTACATTTGCTGTTTAGACGTCATTGCGGCCGCTGCACTAATGCTCAGCTGCTGCCGTTTCTGATGTCTGCCATCATTGGCATTATTGATGATTGCGGCAAAGCTTGTTTAAATCGAATTTCTACTGCCACCATCCGCATCATCATCTTCATGATCATCAGTTGAATTGATAGCCTGCTTGCTCGGAATGATATTCCCCTTATATTGTCGCTTGCCACCATTAGTGGCAATCTGACTGCCTCTCTGTGTGTATGTGTATGCGTATGTTTGCATGTCTTTCCGCCTGTGCATTCGTTTGATTTGCTTTGACTACTTTGCCAGGTTATTTGTGATGATTTCCAAATGTGAAAACTCCAAGTGGCTGCATTCACAGTTCATAGCCGCCAGCAGTATTGAGACAACTGGCGGGCGAATGTTTTGAAGGCACTCAAACAATTTCTGGCTACACGCTTATATAATATGTATGAACATTCATTGGTAATACTGCCACTGTTTATTTGTATAAAGTGTGTAGGCGTAGACTATTTGTGGCCTAATTAGGTTTCGAAATTCTGTAGCTCAGTCCAGAAATCGAAGGATCGCAAGTTTTGCAAATAAATTACTCAACTATGCTGTACGCATAAAGGACTTATGTATATATATTAGCTAAGTTTACGCAACGGCATTTTCTATATATCACTATATCAAAATCCAAAGCATAGCGAGACAAATCGATGTAGCCATTTCTGTTTACGCTCACACTTCCTCACTACTTGACTACTCGGCTTAAAATAAATTGACTGAATTCAACGTGCTAGAGTAGTTTCTTTACCTACAAGTGTGTTAAGCTGATTTCGACGACCACAATTAAATTTGTGAAGACCCAGATATCGAATATTATCATTCCCAGCGGTGGACAAACGTCTTACCCACGCCTCGACCAACGAGAAGGACTATGTGATGAAGAGTTTTAACGAATATATGGAATGTTTGAAAGACGATATTCACAAAGACAAGACGGGCCAAAACTGTCTCCTTGGTAGAATAATCGGAAAATTCTGGCCACACGCCGAGATGTCCTTTGCCCGAATTTTCCGCAGGCCGAAATATAGTTTTAAGAGTATATCATGTATATTGATATCACCCAACTAAAAAGCTCGAAACGAGATTGACCATGTTGAGATAGAAAGGAAGAATGCTTCGGATATACGTACTCCAAAATCGTTTCGGACCAATGCTTTGCTTCAGCCACAATACATAGCGTAAAAACCCAAAATAATATGTGTTTGTTGTTGTTGTTGTGGAAAATTTAATAGAGTGTAGTCGGAACTTCTAGTTGCTTACGAGTCCTGGTTTTTAATAAAATACTAGTTCATATATAAGAGTTTCTTTAAACTAGTCCAGATTTTGTTTGAAAATACTAGTCTAACTCTAGCAGACTATTTAACTAGAATTTTTACATACTAGTCTATACTTTTCCCGCAGGGTATGTACATAACTGCAAGTTATTGAAAAATTAGATCAAGGACGTTAGAAACTATTGGCCAAAGTTTAAAATCCAGTAAATACGAACATTTATGCAAATATGTTTGCATACATCTAAGGCCTATACCTGGCCCCTATAGGAAAAAATCTAACACTTATTGCAATTAAATCAATTTGAAGAAAACAATACCGCCTTTGACTACGCTCAGGGCTTTAAAACTTTTGTGAAAGTCACGGGAACATCGAAGTAGGCAAATGAACATCAGCACGGACTGTCGGGATCAACTCGGCTTCTCTATAGAACTGATAAGTTGAACTTCAATGTGTCTATTGCTGCCCGTGGTAAGACTTATATACTCGGAGCAAGAACTCTTTTTCAATATTATTCTTTTATTGAGAAAATGCATAGTCCACTGTGACATTAGATCTATTGTGCTCTATTATTGCGAGAGTAAAATTGTGAGTAAAAAGAACAATCACTGGTATTACTCTAGTTCAAAATGAACTAGTTTTACTCTACACAGTTCTAAAAAAAGAAATATATTTTATTTATTGGCTTAAATTTTCTCTGCAGGGTATTGGGTATCGCTTGCACGCATATAAATGCGCTCACATATATAACAGTGTATTTGAACTGCAGCTTCGTTAGCATTGTTATAAAGTTTTGAAGTGTTGAAAGTTAACCTTTAATGAGTGGTTATATTTCATCTGAAACTCAATTATCAATGCACGGATGCTTGATTGTCATGATCATTAAGTGGCCTGCTTCGAGGTTAAAATGTTATTGAGAGATTTTAATTTTAATTTTAATCTTTTTTGTTTGCAAATAATTGCGGAAAATTAAATTGACATTGGCTAATAAATTTGTTATTATTTCCTTCGCAGAGTGTCATTACTAATTAAATAGAGCTGCGCTAACGAAGTCAATTCACTATTTGGAATGCTTAAATTAGTTTGATTACTTTTTAGTGCTAGAAGAAGTAAATGGCATTATGCTTTATATATCAGATTTTTTGTCATGTAGGTAAAGATGAAGCCATATATAAAAGTACACGTCAATGAGGTGTGATTTTGACTGTAATTCACTTGGGAGTGACCAGAAAAGATTATTTTACATATGGTTCAAGTGGTTCCCCTTTCAGGCCAAGCAACCTTCTTAAGCCGAGCTAAAGAGGTTGTAAAAAAAAAACCTGTAACTAAAACCAAAAATTTTGGTTACTACAAAAGCAAAAGTTTTGAGAATCATAGTTTCAGGGCATGCCACAGGAAAGCCCCGTATCTTAATTAAAGCTACTATAGTGACCATATAAAGAAGCACGAAGTTGGTTTTAGATACGTTGCATGCAGGAGTCCTGAATCACGCTAAAATTCACTACAAAATAAAGCTCTGCAGCCTATCGCCTTGATAGAAATGAAAGAGCGATGTGAACAAACAAACTTTCTGTGAGCGCTAACCCCTGCGCTATGTGAAAATTGTGCCGTAGTGAGCAATGCAGGTATTCTCACACATACAACGATCTGAAAATTCAGCCTTCATGACGAAACACAATGGACTGAGGCGGACCGACTTTACTGTGGCCCGAAATTGTATTGTCTGTAGTGTTCAAATCAGTTTACGGAGGTAATGCTCATTATTCTTCAGCCTGCTGAATGGCAATTAGACTGATTTGGTGATGGTTAATCCTAATTCCTACTACATAATAATGGTAAGGACATTCCGTTAGTCGACTATGACGAAACCCGATTGATAGTTTCTCTATTAAAAAGCAACAAAACAGCGGAAGCCGACGGTTTACTGAATGAGTCTTTAAAGTGTGACAGAAAAGGAGCGTTGTTAGTTTTGTTTTCAAACAAATGAATGAAACGAATGTGTCTGGTAGTAAACGAGAAAGAATGCGACTGGATCGTAGGATTTCAGGCACTCCAACTTTGAAAGGATTCAATTTAGTATCCGCTAGTTATAGCAGAGCGAGAGGAGAGAAAGAGAAGAGCTTCCGTTCAATTCGCTTGGTTTTTGGGAATGGAGCTCAATCGCGAGAGAGAAAAAACGACTGGCACATAAGCGGCGCCAATGAAAAAGAAAAAATATCTGTCGAAATTAAAAATAGAAAGTACATCGAGCTACTCTTTTGGGTATATATACATTTTGAAGAATATTAACTGAGACCTGCCTGATTTGTGTTATCCTTAGTTTGTCACAAAAATTGTTTCTCTGATACTGTCGCTACCAAGTTCGTAGTGAGTTATTGATGTATGATTATTCATTAGTTTATTTTTTATTATACGGTTCTCTGGTATTTACCTTCGCGCAAATGTTTCATTGGAAGCAACGCAATCGTAAGCAAGAATATTCCGCTTCCATACTGTATGAGCACTTTGGTCATTTTGCTACTAAACTATTAAAGAACTGTATGCCGACGCTCATTCGTTTATCGGTGCCAAACACCTCTGAACTTCTCTACAAATATACCAAATTTCTACAGAAACTACATATTTCGAATTTATTTACTCAGTTCCACTTTTTTTTAATTAGAAATTAATTAAAACATACACGCTCATACTGTCTTTGCAGGTGGAAGAAGATTGGAAATATGTTGCCATGGTATTGGATCGTCTATTCCTGTGGATCTTCGCGATCGCATGTGTGGTCGGCACAGCGCTGATTATCCTGCAAGCGCCAAGTTTGTACGATCAATCACAACCGATCGATATTTTATATTCAAAAATCGCTAAGAAGAAATTCGAACTGCTAAAAATGGGCAGCGAGAATAGCTTATAGCGACCGCTTGGGTTCGCAGCGGGCTGGTGGAATTTAATCACCAGCTCGATGCGAACCCTCTTCGCCGCACGCGATGATGATCGCGGATAATACAACGATACCATTGCAATGGTCGAACGTATTTTACACAATTTTATTGGTGCTGGCGAAGATAAAAACGATGGCGACGATAGTGACAATGGCGCCGTTGATGCCGACGATGCCAACGATAACGATGCTAACGACGCAGCCGATGACGCAGCTGATGTGGACGATGCCGATGTAGTAGAAATGGTTAACATAAAAACTAATAAAAATAATTTAGCTAACAATGATGATAAGGAAAAAGTTAAAACAAAAAAATTACCTAATAATAAAGATTATGATGCGAACAATGTCATGAAACCAACTTTAACAACAACAACAACAACACTAACTAATAATAATCATAAAAATAGTGCAAAAATGCAATTAAAAATAGTTATAAAAGAGAAAATGCACGAAAACATTTGGGTGTTCAAGAATGAGCTTGAGGCACCACGACGCATACTGGATGCAGCTGAAGGCCTCAAGACGATAGTAAGCGAAGAAAGAGTTGTGAAGAATGGGACGAAAGTTGTTGAAGAGCAATTGATCAAAATAAAATTGTTGCCGTAAAGTAGTTGAGAATTAGTGAAAAATAATGAAAAATCGCAGAAAAAGCGCGCGCACACACACACACACTGCTCTGCCAATGTATAAGCAGTTAAATGAGTACATGTTTGTGTATATGTTTATGTGAACTTGGAGAGAGCATTGGTAAATAAACGCAAAATTCTACTGAGCGCAAGTGCGTCACTCAAAAGTACACCGCTGAGTTGAGCAAAAAAAAATGTTTGCACGTTCAAGTTGCAAAAATTATGAAAATTAAGTGCAAGAAAATTAATTATTTGAAAACAAAAATTATAATTACATAAATACAACACACTCAGCCATCCAGGTATGATAAAAACACAAGTTTTATAAAATAAATACTAAAATTATTAACAAATTCATTAAACACAAAGAGTGTTGCAGAGAGAAAGCGAAAAGGACAAGAGTGTGAGAGAGAGAGAGAGAGAGAAAGAGATACAAGTAAAGGAAAGAGGGAGATGTAGAGGAGGATTGGTACAGAGGGAGAGCCAGAGAGAGATAGAGATACAGAGAGTGAGAGATGGCGAAAGTGCATAAATTTCACATAACAAAATGCAAACGTTTAGTAATCAGCTGAAAAATAAAACTAATAATGCAGTAAATGGGTTTGTACATTTACTATGTGTAATTAAAAATCTGTTTAGATATATTTATGAAATAAATAATAAATTGTTGTAGTTGAACAATCATCAACAAAAAATGCCACATTTTTTTCTACCGACGACACAAGTGTAATAACGACGAATAAATTAGATATTAAGAGTATTATAGATACAAGATGCATACATAACATAAACACTATATATGTATGTATTATAAATAAGTGAATATAAGAGTGTAGTTCAATTGCCAACAAACTACAGTTAGTCTTAGAATTATGCAGTATCTCTCGGAGTGCCAATCAAATGAGAATTGCCAATGGAAATGCATAAAAATCTTCAGAGAGCAACCTAACACACACATTCTCTCTTGATTAGGCAACAAAAAATATGAAGATCCCGTTAAGCTATTTATTTTTTGTTTATATATAAATATATATATTCTTTGCTATACGTCTGAAAACTAAAACTAAAACTAAAACTAAAAAAAGAGAACTAGAAATTTCACATATTTTCATTTTATTTTTTGCGCAAGGAATTAATCTTTTCAATATATACAATACATTTGTAAATATATGCATACATACAACATATATACAGCAATACACGAGGTAAGTGCAATGATTTTTAATTCAACGACTGAATGTGCTTATGTCTATAAAAATGTAGATGTAAGTTAAAAAATAATGCCAACAATAAAACTGTTAATTAAAGTAAAAAAAAAAAAGAAATAAAAGTAAATTAAAAATTGAGTAAAATTAAAATTAAATTCAAATAATATTGCAAATTTAATTGAAATTAAATTAAAATTAAATTAAAATTATAATTAAAATAATATTTAAAGTAAAATAAGAAATTAAAATTAAAATAAAAATTGTATGTAACATACACACATACAAAATTATTTTACTAATTAAATTATAATTTGCTTATGTATAGACAGGTTTTAATTTACTAGAAAATAAATTTAATTAATGTAATATATTTATGTAAATTTACATTGTAAAAATATATAAGCAAATGTATGTATGAATTTGTTGACCAGCAGCAACAGATCGAAAGCGTAAATTCTGAAATTAATTTAGATAATTGACAAAAGCAGCAGCAGCAATCAATTGGAGTGTACACCGCAAACGCAAACTATTAGTGAGACCACACATTGCAAAGTTAAAGAAATTTGAATTTTTTCAAACAAAAAAATGAAAAAAAAAACAACAATCGGCTAAGTGTATATAAAACCAACAACAAAAAAATAACAGAAAATTTTCGATTTATTTAAAGACACATAACAGTTACAAATATGCAGCACCACAAAACAAGGGTAGCAATTTTTTCAAAAATTCTCATTAATTTTTTGTTTTTCAATTCACATACGTTACATACGCAAAATATGTAAATTATGTTGTTAAATATTTTGATGCTAAATGTTAATAAAAAATTAGCAATAAATTTAAAAAAGATAAAAGAAACAATTGTGAACTCCATAATGCATTAATTAGAAATGAAATCAATAATTGCGTCACAATTTGACATTTTAGATAGTTATTGCATATTTAATTGCAATTTCGCTAATTTGTGTTTTTTTTTCTATTTCGTTATAGCGTAAATAAATAATCTATGTGTTCAATGCAATAAGAAAAAACTAAAAAAAACACAAATTTTTTATTATCATTAATTGTACAACAAATTAGTTTAGATGTAACATAAATTAACAAAACGGTTTTGAATAATGAATTTAATTATGAGTGGTTTAAGTAAAAGCATAAAAAAATAAAAATAAATAATGCAAACAAAAAAACTAAACAAAACTTTAAAATGTTTAAACCACTTATTTAATAGTAATTACATAATGCTTATTATTAAAATAATTTTTTACGGCTCTTATAGACCGAGCTCCATTTTATTAACATAAGTTATAACGGATCTTATTGACTGAATTGCTTATTATTAAAATAATTTTTTACGGCTCTTATAGACCGAGCTCCATTTTATTAACATAAGTTATAACGGATCTTATTGACTGAATTGCTTATTATTAAAATAATTTGCAATTAATTATTTTGACTTTTTTTTGCCTTACTTAATAGTTTCTATTTCATTACTAATTTATTTAGCTTTTCATCTTTTTCTAAAACCATTTTTTACTCCAATTTTATAAAATTCATGCAATTGTTTTTTTTTTATTAGTAGCACTACACTTACATATATATGTATACCTTTTATTTATTATTTAATAACAGCAAAACAGAGGCGTTACGAAAATTGTGATCGGCTTAGGCGAACGGAAGTCAAGAGCAGAGCTATACGTTGGTGTTGATAAAGAGAGAAAGATCGCAATAGAGAGTCACATTCGTATTTCTAATATATGCAAAAAATTCAATTTGCACTCACTCTCAGCAGCATATGTTTACCCCTCTGAGTGTATTTCTGGCATTAAAAAAAATCCTCACAAGGATCTATCGGAAGGGACTTAGATGTACGTCACAAATCGTTTAGGAGCTCGGAAACAAATCGTTTTAACGGTTATTTTATTTTAATTTATTTTATTTTTTTTTAAATTAAAATTATTTTATTTTGTTTAATTTTCCGTTTTTATTTTACTTTATTTAATTTCATTTTATTTTTTATCTCATTTTATTTTATTTTATTTTATTTTATTTTATTTTATTTTATTTTATTTTATTTTATTTTATTTTATTTTATTTTATTTTATTTTTTTTTTTATTTTATTTTATTTAATTTTGATAAACTTTTTAATTTTTCTTTTCACCATTTTTTTTTAAATATTTTTTCTTTTGAAAATTCTATCCAATATCACCCTTCGCCACGAACCTTCTTAATACTTTTCGACGTTTATATGTAATCTGCTTGACCATCAAAAGTGACGTTGGGTTATTATATTATATTTTTCTCTTTGCATTTTTTGAGTCAAGAACTGGCACAATAAATAAGCATCCTGCTCTGGAGTATTCCCATAATAGAGGAAATTGTTGCATAACGCTCAAGAGTTCAAAATATTTTTGATGTCAAGTAACGGTGTAAATCACCATTATACTTTCATATCTAACACAATTTGTCAACTAATTCAAATAGATATTTTTCTTAATTAAACAAAAGTGAGTCAAAAGCGTTTGAATAAGTTTCGCTAATTTGAATTTATTATTTTCCTAATAAATATTGACCATTTGCCCCTTGCAACTTCCCTTCCCGCGCTCTGCATGTCCGCCATTGGATTTCATTTGAATTCTTGAACTCTCTCATTTATTACTGCTGCTCTCCGCGAGCAAGCAATTTAAATTAACTGCATTCAATTATAATAATAATTGCAACTTTCTGTCATACTTGCCAGTTCGTTATTACGTAGAGTGAGCGAATTGCAAGAGAAATGCAATTTGACATTGGAATCTTAATTGTCTTACAGACAATGTAAATTGAAATATTGCAAAAGAATTAAAAATGCCAGTCAACACACTGTTGCAGCCAACTGATTTAGAAAAAAAAAAATTTTAGCTCAATGGAAAAAGAGGAAAGGATAATAAGAATTGTACGAAAAATTAAATAAAATGGAATGTCTTGAACCATGTGTTGTATTATTTTTAGAAAACATGCTCTTATTAAGGGCAGAGTCCAGCTTGTGTTGCCTATAACCCGGGTATCAATGAGTTAACATAAGAGAACTTTTGTTGCCGAAAGTATAAGTTCGTAAAGGAGGGAACGTAGATAGAGTGGCCAACGTATGGGATCCTTCAAATTGTGGTTTGATGCTCTTCCAACAAAATTCTAAACTGTTTCCGAACGGCCGTTGGATTTTTATGAGAATGTTTTATTTCATGTCAGAAATACATATACTCGGTGGCCTGAACGTTGCCTACCGAGGGACAAATGAAACATCAAAAATTAATTTTCTGTAATATAAGCCATTAAAAATGGCTGACATTTGTCCAAAAATATTCCTCCCATATAACAGACCTTTCAATTTTGACGGCCCTGTGGGCTGGGCATTGAATATTTGGGGATCTTATCGAAAAAACTTTATCTTATTTAGTTGATGTGATAAAAACAACGAGTGCCAAACCTATATACCTTCTTCCGTAAAATTTTTCTTTAGTCCTTCTGTGAAAGTCCGTTAATTGTCTTGCAGCAGAGAGTTTTCTTTACTGGTTTGTCTTACAGAAGAATGCTATGAAACTATACTTTGCAATTGCTTACTTTGTTGCGGAAATTGTCCTAAGTTCTCTATTCATACCGAACGTGACTTCTTTTTACGAATTATTTATATATATTTTTTTAACTTAATTTCTAACTCAAATATATACTTCGCAGCCTTAAATCTCACGTTAATCACAAAAATGCTATCGATTCGGTTGAACATTTGAATATGTCATCAAACCTGTTATCAAATAATTTGGAATTTATTTCTCTCTTACCCAAATAAAAAATGCTGTCGTTAATGTCAAATCGTTAACAGATAATGTTAAATGTCAGAATTGAAGTGTGCTGTTAATACTACAGCAAGCGGTCATGTTAAAATTAACATTCACATTGAGTTTGTG